ACCAACATTGAGTGAATTACATTAATAGATAAAGAAAAATAAGAAGTTACATTATAGGGAGCCTGCAAGTAGGCCCAGATTTCCAAAACCTCAACTGCTCAGATTGTTGCATAGCCTTTCTCAATATCCGGATGTATCAGAGTTCCCTAAGGACCTCAACGGATCCCGAGCAGTGCTCACACCCAGATTTCACAACCATATTTGAGTAAGTGTTGTATGGAAGGGCCAACTCTAATGCATTAGAGTTCAGAGGGATCTCATAGGGATCTCTAAGCAGTCACACATTAGAGGGGCAGAACTTAGGGATCTAAGAATAGAGTGAGAATGCTTGACATATTTTTGAAAAAAGGTTTAAGTAGGAAAACAATTTGAAAAGAGACTTGAAATAGTTTTGTAAAACAACAAAGGAGTTATTCAATAAGACAATTTTGAAAAGAGTAGGGCAATCAACAAACAACACACCAACCTCAGAACCAAAACAGGTTCAGCATCACAATAGAACAAAGAACCAAGATAGGTTTAGCACCACAAGCCTTTACACGAGGGTAAATGGGAATTGAGGATAGGTAAAGCACATAATAGTAAACACATAGCAGGAAGAAGTCTTTGGAATTGGTACAGATATGCTCAGAAACACAGATTAGACATAGTCAATCAGCAATGCTTAAGGGGTTCAGTATAGGATCAACATAATTTAAAATCAATCCCAGAATCATACAAGTTTAGGAGTGCAGACTACTTTACAATGAGATTCATACCAGAAACCAGATAGCGCAAGATCACATGGAGACAAACTATATAGAGGGGGGGTAACATGTTCATACTAATCCTAAGGAAGGGGAATACATAACATGCTAATAATGTAAACATATCAACTACAGGTTTCACAATAAAACCATAAGTAAAAGCAGACTAGAAACATGATGAATTGAAGTAATAAAAGGACCATATCATTTTTGGAACTTGAATTGAAATCGGAACATACCAGTAAAGAAGGTAGTAAACACAAAGTGAGGAGCAAGAGAGTAGAGTAATTAGCCTTGGCTTGCGACGGCTGACTTAGAACAATAGCAAGTAACCAGAGAAAAGAGAGCAGAAGAGAGTTTTTGTGTGAGAGAGAGTTGTTGAACCAATGTGTTCATGTCTTTGTGCTAATGAAAGAGTAAGGTACTTATAGTTTGAAAACAGGTAAAAAAATAAGGCAAGAATCATAGTTCAGCAGTATTTATGGAACTATATACTAATTAGAATCAAATCAGTATAAGTACTTCCTTTAATTAAGGAGTTAAATTTAAATGGTAACAGGCAAATACTAAATAAGGAAGGAAATCACATAAGGCTGAATATAACAAATAAGAAAATATTTTTAGCATAGTACAAGTACACAACATGTAATAGAGACTAGGTTCAGTAGATTCTAATCAAGGAAAATACTTAAGAATCAGTTGACAGCATGCTCGACTATAGATTAAGGTAAGAAAGTATCTTAAAGGTTAAAATCAGTAGAGAATATCACAAGAAATCAGTGAAGGATCAGTCACAGAGATTCAAAAATAGAAAATAGTACTGATTTAGAAGAAATTGACACAAATTTATGAGAACAAGCGGAATAAACACATAATTGGCAAGAATCAGAAACTCTAATAAGCCAAATAGGGTAAAATCACACAAAATTAGGGATTCACATAGAGCATAGCATGAATTAATAGAATAAACATGACATAGGTGGAAGAAGTAAAAGTCAGAGACACTAATGAACAAAATAGGATAAAACCACAGAGAATCATAAGGCTCATGAGAAACAAGCACATATACAGATTAAGCGAACATATTATCACAAAACAGACTCAGAATCCAGGATTAAAACCAAGAAACTTAGGGTTTTCAACATAATAACTCAGATGAAAAGAGAAAACTCAAATAAATATTTAAACATAGTGAAAATCATAGATTAATACTAAAATCAGAAGAAAAAAAACCATTTTGAAAAGGGGTTAAGAAACCCTGGTTTGAAGATGAAGAGTCGTTTTAGAAAGGTCGGAAAATCTTTAAGGAAAATAGCAAAATAACTCAAAATATACCCAGATCTATTACAGATCTAAGAAAACAAGAGCTAATAGTTAGGGTTTCAGATAGATAACCCAAAGAGAAAGAATATCGGCCTAGAAACCAAAGGTTCTAGCCGGAGATGGAAGGATCTTACTCGGACAGGCCAAGATTGGCCTGAGAATGACATAAAAAACCATAGGGGTGAGTTGAACCGCCTCTGGTTCCTTTGAGGACCTCAAGGTAGCAGTAACCCGTCGTAGGAAGAAGCCATGAGGGTTGGGATGGTGGTGAGACCACTATAGTTACCGGCAAGTCGACAGCCGGTGAGAGCTTTAGGTTTTAGCAAAGAGAATTTGAGAGGTGAGGGGAGAGTGTAATGGAAGAGTGAAAGAGAGAAATGAGGGGGTAGGGGGGGTAGCCTCTAAGGTTAATTAAGGAAAGGGGAGATCTGGACCGTTAATTAAAATTGATCAACAGTCCAGATTAGACAAGGGATTGGGTTAGATAGGATAAGGTATTGGGCTTGGGTTATTTGGGTCGTTTTAATTGGGTTGGGTCTGATTTAATTAGGCTATAATTGAAATGAAAGTGGCTATTTATAAAATACCCAATGTAAATTAATTAAAATAATTTACAAAAATAGCTGTTAATCATAAAAATAAATTTCATACGTATAAAATAATTTAAAAAGTTTATTTAGTATTTAAAAAATATACATGATTAATTTCTGGATGAAAATAGTACAAAATCATATGATTGGGCTATAATTGCAAAGTTATTGCAATTATAGCCAAAAGGTGCCATTTTGGCTAATTATAAAATAATTTGGTCTTAATAGGACCAAATATAATACATTACATCAAGAAATGCTTTTGAAATCATTTGTGAGGTAATTTCTAATTATTTCTTGAAAATAAAATGCTGAATAAATTAATAAAAATATAGGAGAATTGTGGAAAAATATCAATTGCTAATCAATGCATGATTTTAAAGACATATATGCAATTTGAAATATTGTTTGGAAAAAATTGGGTATCAACAACTATTCTTTGGACCATTACTTCAACAGTCAGTTAGATACACATTTAGTGCTTCCTTCGGTGCTCCACTTATTGTCGAGTTGTTCGATCTTGAGTTGTTGGACTCACTTATCCAAGTTAGAGCCTCTTCGACAGATAGAGGACTCTAGTCTCGGCATGTTTAGGCATGATTTTAGCACATGTACTTCTTCATTTCTTTCTTATTCAGGTTATCTTTATATAGATCAATTTTACTAAAATAATTTATGCAAAAATAATACCTCACCCTAGTAGTGATTTCAGATGGAAAAAGATGCACATAACATGCACATTACTCATTTGTTAACTTCTTTAAGGACTAAAATCTCATATTTATTTTATTGTTGTTAAAAAAGCTCATCAAGTAACATTAATCTCTCTAGTATGCCCCAAAATTCTCTTAATATAATATTTTTAATAAGATTTATTTACATTGAAATATATCTATGCCCTGGTCGTGGAGGATGAGCTAATGTAGATTTAATTTTTTCTCCTTTAGCCTGTGTTAAATTATTTGCTGGACATATGAGTGTTCAATGTTAGTATTATCCAACTAACTATTATTAGCATGTGTTATGTATTGAAATAGGAAATATCAGAATATATAGTTTTAAATCTTTTGTGCTTCATATTACATGTTACATTTAAATAAGTTACAATCTTGCAGGTGATTCCCATTATATTGAGTGAGATCATTATTGGAAATTCACCAAATTGGATTTCCCTTGCTTATAACTCCATGGTGCTATAACGAAGTACTAGCACGAAAGCGCTAAACATGGAAGCATCTCACAACTTTCGTGATGGTTGGAGATGGTCCTTTTCTAGTAGTGAGTTTTTGGCTTTGTCACTTCTTATACTGTCTTTCTTTCTTTTTTAGCGAGACCCCGAGGTTTCTCATTAAGAAAGGGCGTATGGAGGAGGCAAAAGCGTCCCTTAAGATGTTGAAGAAATGTGGAGCAGAAGCAGAGATGTAGATGTTGGCAAGCATGATGAAAAATGAAGGCAAGAGGAAAAGGAAGAAACTGTCACACTCGCCCACTTTACTGCTTAACATAGTGGCTCAAATTTACCAGCAAGTGTTGGGCTTTGACTCAATACTATTCTTTGGAACATTACTTTTGTAGTCAGCTAGATACACTTATAATGCCTCCTTCGTCGCTTCGCTCATTGTCGGAGTTGTTCGAGCTTGAGTTGCTGGACTCACTTATCCGAGTTACAACATTTTCAGACCGATGGAGGACTCTAGTCTTGGCATCTTTAGACAAGATTTTAGCACACATACTTCTTCATTTCTTTCTTATTTAGGTTTTCTTTATATAAATCGATTTAACTATAATAATACACAAAAATTATTCCTCACCCTAGTGGTGCTTTCAAATGGAAAAAGATGCACATAACATGTATATGAATCATTTGTTAACTTTTTTATGGACTAAAATGTCATATTTATTTTACTGTTGTGAACAAACTCATCAAGTAATATTAATCTCTCTAGTATACACATAAATTCTCTAAATATAATATTCGTAATAAAATTTATTTACTTTGAAATATATCCATGCATTGGCCGTGGAGAATGAGTTAATGTAGGTTTATTCTCTTCTCCTTTGGCTTGTGCCAAATTAGTTGCTGGAAATATGAGTGTTCAAAGTTAGTATTATCCAGCGAACCATTATTAGCATTTGCTATGTTGTAAAATAGGAAATATCAAAATATATAATTTTAAATTTTTTGTGCTTTATATTGCATGTCACACTTAAATAAGTTACAATCTTGCAGGTGATTCCCATTATATTGAGTGAGATCAATGGTGGAAAGGCACAAAAGTGGATTTTCCTTGCTTATAACTCCACGGTGTTATGAGGAAGTACTAGGACGAAAGCAGTAAACATGGCAGCATCTCACAACTTCTGTTATGGTTGGAGATGGTCCATTGCCAGTAGTGAGTTTTTGGATTTACCACTTCTTATACTATCTTTCTTTCTTAGTGAGACCCCAAGGTTTCTCATTAAGAAAGGGCGTATAGAGGATGAAAAAGCATCCCTTAAGATGTATAGGAAATGTGGAGCAGAAGCACAACTAGAGATGTTAGCAGGCGTGATGGAAAATGAAGGCAAGAGGAAAAGGAAGAAACTGTCGCACTCGCCCATTTTACTGCTTAACATAGTGGCTCAAAATTTTCAGCAAGTTTTGGGCTTAGACTCTATACTATTCTTTGGACCATTACTTCAACAGTCAGCTAGATACACCTATAGTGCTTCCTTCGGCGCTCCGCTTTTTGTCGGAGTTGTTCGAGCTTGAGTTGTTGGACTCACTTATCCAAGTTAGATCCTCTTCGGCAGACAGAGGACTCTAGTCTCGGCATTTTTAGGCATGATTTTAGCACATGTACTTTTTAATTTCTTTCTTATTTAGGTTTTCTTTATATAGATCAATTTTACTAAAATAATTTTGGCAAAAATAATACCTCTCCCTAGTAGTGTTTTCGGATGGAAAAAGATGCACATAACATGCACTTGACTCATTTGTTAACTTCTTTAAGGACTAAAATCTCATATTTATTTTATTGTTGTAAAAGAAAACCTATCAAGTAACATTAATCTCTCAAGTATTAGCATAAGTTTCCTTAATATAATATTCGTAACAAGATTTATTTACTTTTAAATATATTTATGCCCTGATCGTGGAGGATGAGTTAATGTAGGTTTAATCTTTTTCTACTTTGACTTGTGCCAAATTAGTTGCTGGAAATATGAGTGTTCAAGTTTAGTATTATCCAACTAACCATTATTAGCATTTGCTAAGTTGTGAAATAGGAAATATCAGAATATATAGTTTTAAATCTTTTGTGCTTGATTTGCATGTCTCATTTAAACAAGTTACAATCTTGCAGGTGATTCCCATTATATTTGGTGAGATCAATGTTGGAAAGGCACCAAAGTAGATTTTCCTTACTTATAGTTCCATGGTGCTATGGGAAGTACTAGCATGAAAACAATAAACATGGTAGCATCTCACAACTTCTGTCATGGTCAGAGATGGTCCTTTGCTAGTAGTGAGTTTTTGGCTTTGCCACTTCTTGTACTGTCTTTATTCCATAGTGAGACCCGAGGTTTCTCATTAAGAAAGGATGTATCTAGGAGTAAAAAGCGTCCCTTAAGATGTTGAGGAAATGTGGAGCAGAAGCAGAGTTATAGATGTTTGCATACAAGATGGAAAATGAAGGCAAGAGGAAAAGGAAGAAATTGTCACACTCGCCCATTTTACTGCTTAACATAGTGGCTCAAATTCTCCTGCAAGTGTTGGGCTTAGACTCAATAATATTCTTTGGACCATTACTTTTACAGTCAGCTAAATATACCTACAATGCCTCCTTTATCGCTCCGCTGAATGCTAGAGTTGTTGGTCTTACTTATCCGAATTACAGTTTCTTTTGCAGACGGAGGACTCCAGTCTCGGCATGTTTAGGCATGATTTTAGCATAGGTACTTATTCATTTCTTTCTTATTTGGGTTTTCTTTATGTAGATCAATTTTACTAAAATAATTTACGCTAAAATAATACCTCACCCTTGTAGTGCTTTCAGATGAAAAAAGATTCACATAACATGCACACGACTCATTTGTTAACTTTTTTACGGACTAAAATCTCATATTTATTTTATTGTTGTGAAGAAATTTCATCAAGTAACATTTATCTTTAGTATTCACATAAATTCTCTTAATATAATATTGTAATAAAATTTATTTACTTCGAAATATATCCATGCCTTGGTCGTGAAGGATGAGTTAATGTAGGTTTAATCTTTTCTCCTTTGGCTTGTGCCAAATTAGTTGCTGGAAATATGAGTGTTCAATTTTAATAATATCCAACGAGCCATTATTAGCATTTTCTATGTTGTGAAATATGAAATATCATAATATATAGTTTTAAATCTTTTGTGCATGTCGCACTTAAATAAGTTACAATCTTGCAGGTGATTCCTATTATATTGAGTGAGATAAATGTTGGAAAGACACCAAATTTCCCTTGCTTATAACTCAATGGTAATATGGGGAAGTACTGGCACGAAAGCAATAAACATGGCAGCATCTCGCAACTTCAGTTATAGTTGGAGATGGTCCTTTGCCAGTAGTTGGTTTTTGGCTTTGCCACTTCTTGTACTGTCTTTCTTTCTTACTGAAACCCCGAGGTTTCTCATTAAGAAAGGGCGTATGGAGGAGGAAAAAGCGTCCCTTAAGATGTTTAGGAAATTTTGTACAGAAGCAGAGCTATAGATATTGGAAGGCATGATAGAAAATGAAGGCAATAGGAAAAGGAAGAAACTATCATACTCGCCCATTTTACTGCTTAACATAGTGGCTCTAATTTTTCAGCAAGTGTTTGGCTTAGACTCAATACTATCCTTTGGATCATTACTTTAGCAGTAAGCTAGATACACATATAATGCCTCCTTCATCGCTCCGCTAATTGCTGGGGTTGTTCGAGCTTGAGTTGTTGGACTCACATATCTGAGTTACAACTTCTTCTGCAGACAGAGGACTCTAGTCTCGGCATGTTTAGGCATGATTTTGACACAAGTACTTCATCATTTTTTCTTATTTAGGTTTTCTTTATATAGATCAATTTTACTAAAATAATTTATGCAAAAATAATACCTCACCCTAATAGTGCTTTCAGATAGAAGAAGATGCACATAACATGCACATGAGTCATTTGTTAACTATTTTAAGGGCTAAAATCTCATATTTATTTTATTGTTGTCAAAACAACTCATCAAGTAACATTAATTTCTCTAGTATGCACAAAAAAAATCTTAATATACTATTCGTAATAAGATTTATTTACTTTGAAATATATCCATGCCCATGGTCACGGAGGATGAGCTAATGTAGGTTTAATCTTTTCTCCTTTGGCTTGTGCCAAATTAGTTGTTGGAAATATGAGTGTTCAGGGTTAGTATAATCCAACTAACCATATTTTGTGAAATAGAAAATATCAGAATATATAGTTTTAAATGTTTTATGATTCATATTGCATGTCTCATTTAAACAAGTTACAATCTTGCAGGTAATTCCCATTATATTGAGTGAAATCAATGTTGGAAAGACACTAAATTGGATTCCCCTTGTTTATAACTCCATGGTGCTATGGGGAAGTATTGGCACGAAAGTAGTAAACTTGGATGCATCTCACAACTCCCGTTATGGTTGGAGATAGTCCTCTGCCAGTAGTGGTTTTTTAGCTTTGCCACTTCTTATATTATCTTTCTTTCTTAGTGAGAGCCCGAGGTTTCTCATTAAGAAAGGGCGTATGGAGGAGGCAAAAGCATCCCTTAAGATGTTAAGGAAATGTGGAGCAGAAGCACCGTAGTTGTTGGCAGGCATGATGAAAAATTAAGGCAAGAGGAAAAGGATGAAACTATCACACTCGCCCATTTTGCTGCTTAACATAGTGGCTCAAATTTACTAGCAAGTGTTTGGGATTCGACTCAATACTATTCTTTAGAACATTACTTCTGCAGTCAGCTAGATACACCTATAATGCTTCCTTCGTCACTCCGCTCATTGTCGGAGTTGTTCGAGCTTGAGTTGCTGGACTCACTTATCTGAGTTACAACATCTTCGGCCGACGGAGGACTCTAGTATTGGCATGTTTAGACAAGATTTTAGCACACATAATTCTTAATTTCTTTCCTATTTAGGTTTTCTTTATATAAATCAATTTAAATAATTTACATCACACAAAAATTATACCTCACCCTAGTAGTGCTTTCAACTGGAAAATAAATGCACATAACATGCACATGACTTATTTGTTAACTTTTTTATGGACTAAAATATCATATTTATTTTATTGTTGTGAAAAAAACTCATCAAGTAACATTAATTTCTCTAGTATAAACATAAATTCTCTTAATATAATATTCGTAATAAAATTTATTTACTTTGAAATATATCCATGCACTGACATTGGAGGATGAGTTAATGTAGGTTTATTCATTTCTCCTTTGGCTTGTGCCAAATTAGTTGCTGGAAATATGAGTGTTCAAAGTTAGTATTATCCAACTAACCATTATTAGCATTTGCTATGTTGTGAAATAGGAAATATCAAAATATATAGTTTTAGATATTTTGTGCTTCATATTGCATGTCACACTTAAACAAGTTACATTCTTGCAGGTGATTCCCATTATATTGAGTGAGATCAATGTTGGAAAGGAACAAAAGTGGATTTCCTTTGCTTATAACTCCATGGTGTTATGAGAAAGTACTAGCACGAAAGCAGTAAACATGGAAGCATCTCACAACTTCTGTTATGGTTGGAGATGGTCCATTGCCAGTAGTGGGTTTTTGGATTTGCCACTTCTTGTACTGTCTTTCTTTCTTAGTGAGACCCCGAGGTTTCTCATTAAGAAAGGACGTATAGAGGAGGCAAAAGCATCCCTTAAGATGTATAGGAAATTTTGAGCAGAAGCACAACTAGAGATGTTGGCAGGCGTGATGAAAAATGAAGGCAAGAGGAAAAGGAAGAAACTGCCACACTCACCCATTTTACTGCTTAACATAGTGGCTCAAATTTTTCAGCAAGTTTTGGGCTTAGACTCTATACTATTCTTTGGACCATTACTTCAATATTTAGTTTGATACACCTATAGTGCTTCCTTCGGCGCTCCGCTTATTGTCGTAGTTGTTCGAGCTTAAGTTGCTAGACTCACTTATCCAAGTTAGAGCCTCTTCGGCAGACAGAGGACTCTAGTCTCAGCATATTTAAGCATGATTTTAGCACATGTACTTCTTAATTTCTTTCTTATTTAGGCTTTCTTTATATAGATCAATTTTACTAAAATAATTTATGAAAAAATAATACCTCAATCTAGTAGTGATTTCAGATGGAAAAAGATGCACATAACATGCACGTGACTCATTTGTTAACTTCTTTAAGGACTAATATCTCATATTTATTTTATTGTTGTGAAAAAATAAATTAATATTAATCTCTCTAGTATGCCCCAAAATTCTCTTAATATAATATTTTTAATAAGATTTATTTACTTTGAAATATATCTATGCATCGGTCGTGGAGGATTAGCTAATATAGGTTTAATTTTTTCTCCTTTGGCTGTGTTAAATTATTTTCTAGACATATGAGTGTTCAATGTTAATATTATCCAACTAACTATTATTAGCATGTGCTATGTTGTGAAATAGGAAATATCATAATATATAGTTTTAAATCTTTTGTGCTTCATATTGCATGTCACATTTAAACAAGTTACAATCTTGCAGGTGATTCTCATTATATTGAGCGAGATCAATATTGGAAAGGCACCAAATATGATTCCCCTTGCTTATAACTCTATGGTGCTACGGGGAAGTACTAGCACGAAAGCACTAAACATGGTAGCATCTCACAACTTTCGTGATGGTTGGAGATGGTCCTCTTCTAGTAGTGGGTTTTTGGCTTTGCCACTTCTTCTACTGTCTTTCTTTCTTTTTTAGCGATACCCCGAGGTTTCTCATTAAGAAATGGCGTATGGAGGAGGCAAAAGCGTCCTTTAAGATGTTGAAGAAATGTGGAGCAGAAGCAGAGCTGTAGATGTTGGCAAGCATGATGAAAATTGAAGGCAAGAGGGAAAGGAATAAACTGTCATACTCGCCCATTTTACTGCTTAACATAGTGGCTCAACTTTTCTAGCAAGTGTTGGGCTTAGACTCAATACTATTCTTTGGACCATTAGTTCTGCAGTCAGCTAGATACACCTATAATGTCTCCTTCGTCACTCTGCTCATTGCCGAAGTTATTTGAGCTTGAGTTGTTGGACTCACTTATCTGAATAACATCTTCTTCGGCCGACGGAGGACTTTAGTCTCGGCATGTTTAGGCATGATTTTAGTACAAATACTTCTTCATTGTTTAGGTTTTCTTTATATAGATCAATTTTTACTAACTAAAATATAGCATATGTAACTTGATATCACTTTTATATGATATTTTCAGGTTTCCTTGTTGGGTCTCTTCCTTTTGGTAGTAGACCATTGTCACGCCTCCTTTTTACCTACACCCCCAAGAAATGAGTATAAGGGAGTTTTTCCAATTAAAGGACAATCGAAACGGGATCATATTATTAAAAGATTCAGAGTCACCACTTGGGATAATTTATGGTGTCCCAAGTCACCGGTTCAAATCCCGAATCGAAGAAAAGATTGACTCTGTATTACAGTCCGTGAACCAGAAATCTGAATAAGGAATTCTGTTAACCCGGGAGTAGGTGTTAGGCATTCCCGAGTTCCGTGGTTCTAGCACGGTCGCTCAACTGTTATATTCAGCTTAATTATCTAATTTTAAAACAATTTTGGACCTATGTGCACATTTTATCTTTTAACCGCTTTTATTTAATTAATTAAAGAAGATTGCAACGTCGTTAAAACACGTCTCGAACCACGTCACATAAATGCACCCGTGACTTTTGACATATTTTAACATCGTTGAGATTTGGATTTGGGTCACATAAATGCGCACCCGAATTTAAGAAGGTAATATTATTAAACTAACGCGCCTAAAGCAATTTCGCATTGTAACTTTGCGAGGGCCATGGAATCGAACTAAACGGTGTGCCTCGAATTCTAAGGGTTAAATTAAATTTAATTAGGGTGAATGCCATGCAATTGTTATTTTTCGTTTGGCATGGCGCACCCCAATCTATTCTAATTTTTAAAGGGAGTATTAATTACATTTGGAGGGCCATAAATTATGGATAGGAAACTATTGTGGAAAAATGGTATGATCTTGTTGTTAGGCTAATGGGCTAATAAATATTTAAAAGAAACTACAACTCAAATGCACTTTCTCTGCATCCGATTAATTCCAACCACTACGCATCCCACTGTTTAACAAATATCAATTTGAACTCATGAATTAATCACGCAAAATGAGTAAATGGGACAACCAGTGGTTAAGATAACAGTTCCAAGGAATATGCAAAGAATAGCTAGAAACAAAAGAAACTCTATACAAAACTAAATTGTTATGCGTCTGGTTCAACAAAGAAGCCAAACATTTTTGCAAACTTAAGAGATTAACATTATTAAATTGTTTCCCCAAATGCAGTGCACCCACTCCTTATTAGCTCAAACTATTTTGCTTGTATCCCAATGCTTGTTCCATCCTATTCAATCAATGGGATTCAACAGTAAAAATCATAATACTTCACAAATCTGTACAACATCAACTAGTCAAGCCAGTGAACACATAGATAAGAATTGTACAAAGCACTAACATTGCACAAGATCACCGATAACGAACTCGTAACTATTTTAAACCAAGCAAAGACATTCTCGTTTAAGAGTAAAGAACAAACACCAAGCTTAATAGATATTACAATCAAATGCTACCAGAATAAAATCCAGAAATTGAACGATGAACAAGGAGTTTAGTACCGAACCTTTTCAGAAGCCAAACTTCTTCAAGAAAATTTTATTAGCAAGCATTTCAGTGAAGCTACAACAGCTGAGATCAAAGTCGAATGGACTCCAAAATCGAATGAAAACGCATCGGCGCCGAAACATTAAACCGAAAACCTCGACGGCAACCTCAGACTACGACCTTCGGCGAACTCGGAACTCGCCAGAAAACTCGAATTAAACCAAATAATGAAATTAATGGATTGTAATAGTGACTAGCGATTTGGATCTATTTCATACCATTTAGTGTGCTTTGTAGCTGAGTTTCATAATCCTATCCGAAAATGGCATAGCTAATGGCAAACGGAAGAAGCAGTAACGACAGTGGGGGTGAAAACATCAAACCAAGGAAGATCAACAGATCTGAGAGTGAAACAGTCAAAGGATGTATTGAACGAGGAGGTCACACAGTTGTTCCGTCTATATGTGTGTGCATGAGGGTGAAGCTCACCGGATATGCGGTCACTGACGGGATGGACAGCGGCGAGGTGAGACGAGGGAGTTGGGTGAAGGTCGGGCTATTTTCGAATTTTCGGCGATGGGAGGGGTCCGCTACTGCTCATCGTTCTCAGAGATCGAGAGAGATTGGAGGGTCCGTTCTCGCTGGTTTTGTGTAGGAGGCGACGACGGGAGGGTCTTCGGTCGTTTGGGATCGATGGCTGATGATGAATGAAGAGGTCAAGGGGGCGAGGGGTCTGTGAAGAAGACGATCTGAGGGGGGGATGGGTCCTGTTGTTCGCAGCTTTTCAGCTTTCCCTCAGCGTTGTTTTTCCACCTTTTGATTTTTTTTAAGTATTAATTTATAGGTAGAGTCTAGGTTTAGGTGTATTTTTGTGTATTTTTCCATTAGTCCCTAGGTCTTTTGTGTGATATCCTTAGGGTCTTCTTTATTTGTTTTTGTTCCAAAAAAGAGTCTAGAAGGGTCCCTAGGCTTAATGGACTAATCCGAATTGGGCCAAGAATTGGGTTCTAAAACTCTTAAAATTATGATCCAACACCTTAATTGACTCATTTTAAAGTAAGATAAAAAATACTACCCCATGAAAAAGCTAACATGAAACTATTATATATTTTTTATTTTCAAAATTATATAAAGATGAAAATATGGTTCTATTTTTGTATTTTTTTTTTTGAAAAGTACATACTAAAATATTTTTTTGTAATTTTCATTTTTCTTGTAATAAAATAAATTAAAAGAGTAAAAATGAGTTGAAATAGCTATATTAGGCCTAAATTAAATATTTTACACTAAAATATAAAAAATCTTGGGAAGACAAAAATCACATGTCTACAACCATATCGTTCAACGGAGCCAAAAGAGTGCCTAAGTTGGCATGGCATTTGACATCTCCCTCATTGGCTGCTACTCAATGTTCTTAAGGCCTTCTGAGTGGACTGAAGAACTGTACACCGAAGAGATTAGAACGTTAGGCGCATGCTGGGGGACGAGCATATCTTTTCTCATGTCCCTAATCATAAATCCAACCGTTTTGCTGCTCCTTTATGATCTCAAGGTTTGGATATTCATGTTATTTACTGCTCTGACACTGGGAATGCGCTTCTCAATTTATAAATTTTTGCCCGAGAGAGAAAAGAAAGATGGCGAAGGAGTTGAGGAAAATCTCTTCAAACAACATTGGTTTTGGAAAAGGTTTCTTCCAAAAGATGGCAATGTTGAAGCCGTGTAACTATAAGTTACTCTCTCTGTTCCAGTTTATGTGAACCTATTTCCTTTTTGGTCCGTTCCAAAAAGAATGACACCTTTCTAAATTTGGTAACAATTTAGCTTAAGCATACAATTCTACCCTTAATGATAAACTTTTACAACCACACAAATACTTTGGGCCCCTTTTTGACTTGTTTAGGACCACAAATTTTAAAAGTCTTCATTTTTTCTTAAACTTCGTGCCCAGTCAAACAGGTTCCCATAAATTGGAATGGAGGGAGTAGTTTTTTTTACTGTAAAACTATAATTTACATTGATTGTTTTTATGTATTCCTGAGATTTTGGGTATATGTTCTTTTCTAGGATGGCAGCAACACTCTACCTATGTGGCAGATCAGGAGCTTAATTTTGTAGATTCCAACTGATGGCTTTAGGGAGGTTTCAAGTAATATATTGCTACGGGGAAGCAAATTTTTAGCTGATTACCTTGCTAATGTAGGCGTAGTTGAAAGACAGAAGATACTCTTCACTGAGGCTCCCTCTCTTTGTCAGTGAAAGCCAAAGTCTTATTCAAGAATGATAGAAATGGCAATGTAAATTTCAGAATCAAACCAAAGAAAGGGTCCTTTACTTTTGATTATGGGTAGGATCAGGAACATCTACATTAGTCTAACTATGACTTGCATTTTGACAATTTGCACTGATGTAATTAAAGGAGTCCTCCTTAATTCGTATCACTTTTTTTGTTTAGAGACGTAAAAGAATGTACTCTATAGGCATTCTTCACTTCAGTTCAGAGTGTCAAGATTTTAGACCAACTGTTACAGATTGTTTTTCCTTTTTTCGTTTTCGTTTCTACACATGATTGAATATTTGAATACAGTATCAACTGGAAACTAGATATGAGTTGTATAATCATATATTGTCTCTTCTCTCTACATTGATTTCCTCTTCTCCTTCTATTTTAATTTCTGTGTTTTCCCTATTGTTCTCCTATATTGCATTTGGAGTAAAAGGGTCTGGATTTTAATGCAGAATCTATCATATCTTTTTAGGAGTATTATTTTACTTGTCATTGCAAGTTTGCTACTATTGCTCCTAAAATGGATGACTTATACAGCTTTATTAAGACGGGATCCCGCTTTAAGATTCCAGGCCAGGCGTGCTTAGAGAGACAACAACAAAGCAACTATGAGAAATATTTTTCTACGCTCATCTATATTGTTTATTCTTTAGTGTCGTGTCAGAGTTTGAACGAGAGCTCTAATCCTTATAGCGTAGTTCTAAGTTCTCGATAGGCTAATGGTTATTAGATCTACAAGTTTACGTCTTATATATTATCTTTCAAGTATGTACTAAATTTTCTGATGACACAGAGAAATGGAAGTAGCGCAAATTCGAGTGTTTATTTGATAGAATATATTAACCTAAATTTTATGTTAGCATTATGCACATGTTATCATTACTGAAAATATTTATGCATAAACAAGGCCTAAACCCATGGATGCTTTCGGAGGAAAAAGAATGCACATGACTCATTTGTTAATTTATTTAAAGAGTAAAATCTCATATTTTCTTCATGGTTGTAAAAAACACTCATCAATTAACATATGCACACAAATTCCCTTAATATAATATTCNGGGGGGGGGGGGGGGGAATGCACATGACGTGCACATGAGTCATTTGTTAATTTACTTAAGGAGTAAAATCTCATATTTACTTCATGGTTGTTAAAAAAACTCATCAGGTAACATATGTGTCATTCTCTTAATATAAAATTCATATAAGATTTATTTCGTTTGAAATGCCCTAGCGGTGTAGGATGAATTAATATAGATTTTAATCTTTTCTCCTTTCCAAATTAGTTGCTGAAAAAAATATGAGACAAATAAAAAATGGTATCACGAAAATATTTGAATTGACAAGAATCATGATGATACCACCCGTATTTTTATCGTATGGCTTTAGTAAGTTTCAAACTGTCACGACCCGAATTTTTCACCATCGGGAGTCGTGATGGTGCCTACTAGTGAAAGCTAGGCAAGCCAAAACCATTTGAATTATTTACATTTTTCTCATTCTAATCCTTTAACAATTAATAGGCAACATTAAATAAACAGCGGAGTTTAATTAGCGGAAGACTGAAATATAATATTTTTAATAAAGATGTCAATTCCAATCCATACATAAACTACCCAAGACTGGTGTCACAATTTCACAGACTGTCTAGGAATACTACAAATAAAAGTCCGAAAGAGTTATTACAACACTATCTCCGAGATACATAAAAGAAATAGGATAAAAGGATAGAAGGAGACGCCAAGGCCTGCGGACGCCTGCAGGACTACCTCGGATCTCTGAATGGACTAAAGGCAGCAACCCCAAAGCTAAGGTTTGAAAGCTGCTGCACCGGGATCTGCACACAGTGCAGAGTGTAGTATCGACACAACCAACCCCATGTGCTAGTAAGTGCCTAGCCTAACCTCGGCGAAGTAGTGACGAGGCTAGGACTAGACTACCAAATAAATCTGTGCAGTTAAATCATATACAGCCGAAAATAAAAGCAAGAATGTACAGTTAAGGATGGGAGGGAAAAACATGCTGCAGGTAAATATCAAATGATAACAGAAGGACAACATGTAAATATAAGGAACACCATAACTCAATTATCAACAAGAATCAGAAATCAAACAAGTGCACGGCATCACCCTTCGTGCTTTTACTCTCGTCTTCACCATAAGAATCAATATAATCTGCACGACATCAACCTTCGTGCTTTTACTCTTGTCCTCACCATAAAAATCAATATAATCGGCACTGAATTGTACATCGTGCGGCACGGCATCACCCTTCGTGCTTTTACACTCTTTTTTACAAAATCATACACGGTATCACCCTTCGTGCTTTAACACTCTCTCACCAAACCAATGCACGGCATCACCCTTCGTGTTTTAACACTATTCCTCACCCAAACAACAATCACAAATCAATAAGGGCAAGGGAATCAACAAATTTATAATTAAATCCCGACAAGGGAACAATTGTACAACAGTCATATCCCGGCAAGGGAAACAATATCAACAATAGCATCCAGCAAAGGAGACAACATTAAACAACAATCATCCTGGCAAGGGAGACAATTTCATAATCCTCTTTTCTTTTTCACATTTACTTCACAACTCAATTCACAATTTGAGCCAATGCTCTATAAGGTTCAATTGCCAATTATACTTCCACAAATCACTTTACAACTTGAGTCAATGCTCTTCAACGTTTAAATACCAATATTACTTCCACAAGCCTTTTTCAACAATAGAAATTATCACATAAAGCATGAACAATACAAACGGAGTCACATTAATCATAATATAAGACTCACGGGCATGCTTGACACCAACGTATAGATACTCGTCACCATGCCTATACGTCGTACTCAACAATTAACATGTAGCAAATAGGACACGACCCCTAATCCCTCAAGCTAATGTTAGACCAAATACATACCTCGATGTCACGAACATAATTCAAGCCTCAACTACCGCTTTACCTCTTGATTCCACCATCAATTCGCTCGTATCCAGCCACAAGTTACTTAACTATATCAATAAATGCTTAATGAATCAACTCTAATGCATGAAAATAGGTTATCTAAAGTTTTTCCCAAAAAGTCAAAAATTGCCCCCGGGCCCACATGGTTAAAACCCGAGGTTCGAACCAAAACCCGATTACCCATTCCCCCACAAACCCAAATATATAATTTATTTTGATCAGACCTCAAATCAGGGTCCAAATTCCCAAAATTTGAAAAACCTAGGTTCTATCCAAAACACCCAATTTCTCCCATGAAAACCCTTGATTTTGAGTTGAAATCATGTGAAAAGATGTTAAAGATTGAAGAAACGAGTTAGAAATGACTTATAATCAATTTGGAGAAGAACTTTTCTTTGGAAAATCGCCCAAGAGAGTTTATGTTTTGAAAGAGTTTGAAAAATGAAAGATTTTCGGCTAATTCATGAATTTGCAGGTCGCTGATGTCACAATTGCGACCAGGGTTCGCAATTGCGAACCCTTCAGAACCTGCTAACTTCGCAAA